TTTTGGATATGAGCGTGTGTGTGAGCGTGTGTGTGTGTGTGTGTGTGTGTGTGTGTGTGTGTGTGTGTGTGTGTGTGTGTGTGTGTGTGTGTGTGTGTGTGTGTGTGTGTGTGTGTGTGTGTGTGTGTGTGTGTGTGTGTGTGTGTGTGTGTGTGTGTGTTCAGACTCCCTTTATTCTTTTCCCTCCTTTTCTCTCCCACAATCTCTTGGACATCAGTCGCTCTCTTGTTCTCAGTGTGTGAGGCAGATGAAAATGTGGGGCACTCGCTCTGTTCTTCACACACAGACACACACACAAACCATCTGGGTCTCGCATTCCAGCGAATGAAACTGAAAGGGAGTTTACACACTCGACTGACAGCGGGCCTGTCCTTTTAAATGCCCCCTCACACACACACACACACACACAGACACAGCCATCTGTCGGATCAGCAGTGGTTTCTGCGTGCATATCGCTACATGGTTCCGCTTCCCTGTGGAAAAATAAATCCCAGCACTTGTGTTTTTCTTCCTAGAATCACCAGGATTGTTCTGATTAAGCACAGTTCATCTGTTTGTTTGCATGCTTGTCTCTTATTAGATCATCTGAATAGTTTTACTTGTATATTTAACATTCATTTCATTGTTTGTTTGTTTTTTTGGTCTAGTTGTTGATTAGTTTTGAATCCTGAAAGGTCTCTTTAAATTGTCAGTTTTTTTATGTAATGTAATGTAATGCTATTCTGTGTGTGTGTGTGTGTGTGTGTGTGTTTAAAAAGCCCCTATTATACATTTAAAATAGGTCATTTTTTGGTTTTAAGTGTCTCCAACAACAGGCTGATCTGCATGCAACGTCAAAAAACACTTTCATTGTCTTATAAAATGTGTTTATTTTGACCTAATTATCCCAGCGACTCCCATATGATTCCTTCAGCGATTCATTTGTTCTCAAACCCTTGCTTAGCACGAAGCTAATCTGTGCCGATTGGACATTTGACAGCCTGTTGCGATTGGTCGACAGCATTCAGCGTGAGACAGAGTAAAATGTATGTGTGAGCATACATGCCAACACTCCTGTTTTTCCCGGGAGTCTCACTTATTTCCGACCCATCTCCAGCCACCCACCCATTATTTTATTTATCCCGGAAACCTCCCGTAATTTCAACAATTCTTACACTTGTGAAATGGAGGAAGAAACTGATCCATGATCCACTGATCCATGTACTGATAAAGTTCCTGTCGAGCTCTGACTAATTCCCATACATCAATAGCCTTTTCTGATCCTTCCTTTAACAAATGGTCGACGAATCCCCCATTGTAAGCGTGTAGATTGCTGATGCACAAGTTAGAAAAATGACAGGAACAGCACAAGGCTGGGCTATAATGATGAGGTATTTTTGCAAAAATAAACCTCAACCACTGACTCTTTACAGTTTCATCTTTGGGTAGAGGAAATAACACTAACTTCTGCTTACACTTCAAATAATATCCAGCTGAGCACAGCGTCTTCATGACTTGATTTAACCGGGATCTGCTAAAGTGTTTGTGGGCAGGGCCGCAGGTTTTAATTTTACCGGGTTTGCGCGTGCAATACTTGGGCAGGGATTTTTTCGTATCGACGTCACGTCGAAACGGCTAAAGACTCCTTATCAAGACGATTCACTTGAAGCACTATGAGTGTACTCTTTTATAAGTGAATCAATAGTTTTAAACACTGTCCACTTTTAAATTTAAGCCTTAGCTGGATATTACACTTCACTTAGAGCTGTGTTACACACTACATGGAAGGTCATTTTCAAACACCCATTGTCACAGTGTAAAACTAAAAGACACTGTGACTAACAAACACACATCACATTGCACTCATACATAAAATACATACTTTTAAACATGGACCTTTGTGTTATTTGTATTGTGCATGTGTGTGTTTGTGTAATGTGTATATGTTGTTTTTTCTGTCCAGATTAGCATTGTGTTTATGTAAAAATTTCACTTTTATGTCAAACAATAGCCCATATCAACACTGAAATAACCACAGACACGTTTTCTTTCAAACTTCATTTATTAACCAAACATAGAGAGTTTACATATACTTACCAGTTTCCATTTCTCAGCACCAAACCTGTTTAACATTCAAACAAAGCCATTTATACAGATTTTTCCCGCCTTCACTTTGGAGCAGCCATTTTCCATAACATCATCAGGGTCACAACCCCCTGGTCAGTAAATAAAAATCACAGTTTTGTTGTTTAAATTTGTATTGGTCATTTGTTGTGTTGTATTTTGAGTTTTGTATGCATGTTCATTTACTTGCATTAATTTACATTTCTGTTGAATGTCTTTTTATGTATTTTTTTGTCTACATGGTTACCCACTACCAGTAAAATAGTTTAACCCATGGGCGGGGCCAATACAATAAAATGGCCCCAAACATTCACTTGGTGTGGGTAGTTGTAGGAGAAGGTTGTGTTTGTGTCAGTATTGTTAACAGATTTTGTTCAGGTCATTTACTTGATTGAGCTGAACAAGCCTGTATATACATTGTAAATATTGAATAGTTTATTTTTCTTTATTGTTATTTTGTCACTTTCACCTTTTTGCTGGATTTTTGTTTTCACTTTGTGTAAATAAATCACTCTTCACTTTCACCAGCGGCTTCTGTGACACTTTTTTGCCTCCATCCACCCGGTCAATCGTAACACCCATAATAAGGGCTCTTTGAAGATTTATTTTTGGCATTTTGTCTTTATTTGACAGGACAGTGTAATGACAGGTAGTAAAGGAAAGAAAGGGGGATAGGATCGGAAAAGGTCCACGAGCCGGGACTCGAACTCAGGACACCAGGATCACTGCTGCGCTATATGTCGGTGCACTGACCACTAGGCTATCGCACCGGCAATGATTAAATGTGTTTGCAACAATATTGTGATTATTAAAAATAATGTCATGGGCGCCGATAGCCTAGTGGTTGAGTCCGCTGACATATAGCACCGTGATGTTTACATTCACTGTTTCATTTGGGGAAACTCAACCCACTACTGAGCTTTAATAATAAACAGGTTTATGCTGCGCTTCCCATCACTTTTATTCAGCAGCAATTACTTATGGGACTTCTCAAGGGAGAAGTCTGCATTCGATGCATCCTCTATCTAGAACACATCCGGGTATTTTCACGCATCCTCCGTTCTTGCAGTCTTGAGTTTTGGAATTGAACATTGTTGGTTGATAATGACGTTACACGAGGATGCAAGAACACTGAAGAACGCATATTGAGAAACAGCCAGCCTAAAACAGCCTAAAATTCAATTGTCATGTAAATGGTCAAAACACACATAAAGTTTTCCATGTTTAGTTCAAGTTGGTGCCAAATAATAAAAATAAATAATAAAAATCTAAATAATTTATTAAATGTTTGTATTAAGTTTGTTTTATTTAACCATATTAAGTTGAACTAATATTTTTGCTTGGGCTTAGTTAAACAGTAATATATTAATTCAGCAAAAATGTGTTAAAAATGGTCTTTCTGTGTAATTTATTGAATATATTTAATTGAATCCAGTAATATTATTAAAAGGAACGCTCCACGTTTTTGAAAACAGGCAAATTTTACAACTTCCCTACAGTTACACACTTAAGTTTTCCCATTTTTGAATAGCGGGAGGAATTTTAGCTTAGTATAGATCATTGAAGCGGATTAGACCATTAGCATCTCTGTCAAAAATGACGAAGAATTTTGATTTTGATTTTTGAAGAAGTTTTCTATTTAAAGCTTGACTCTTCTGTAGTGATATGTATGTGCTTGATGTCACAGTTTTCACAAAAAAACGTGTTTTATAGTTTACACATTGTACATAATGTTACACAATGTTTTCAAAAATGCGCACTTTAAAACCCGTTTTCCCCAAAAAATTCAATTGTCATGTAAATGAACGGACAAAACGCATAAAAATTTTTTCATGTTTAGTTCAAGTTAGTGCCAAAAAAATGTAAATAAATAATAAAAATCTAAATAATTTATTAAATGTTTGTATTAAGTTGGTATTTAACAGTATTAAGTTGAACTAATATTCTTGCTTGGGCTTAGTTAAACAGTAATATATTAAGTCAGTAAAATAATATGTTAAAAATGGTCTTTCTTTGTAATTCTGTCATTTGTGTAATATATTAAATTGAATCCTGTAATAATACTATAAGGAACGCTCCACGTTTTTGAAAATAGGCTAATTTTACATCTCCTCTAGAGTTACACACTTAAGTTTTAGCATTTTTGAATGCATTCAGCTGATCTCTGGGTCGAGCGGGAGGAATTTTAGCTTAGCATAGATCATTGAAGTGTATTAGACCATTAGCATCTCTGTCAAAAATGGCCAAATAATTTTTAGAATTTTCCTATTTAAATCTCAAGCAGTAATAAATTAAGTCAGCAAAAATATGTGTTAAAAATTTTAAATAAAGGGTTATTTTTAAATCCATTATTGACTTGACTAATAAAAGAGAAATCCAGCCCGTATTATAGTCATTATAGTTGTCATCTTATTTTGTTCAAAGTATTAGAATTCGTTAGTACTTTTACCTCGTATTAGCTTTTTTTTATTGTGTTTGTGCAATTACTTTCTGTCCTGTACTGCATGTTTCTTTATATTTAGCTATGTTAAGCTGTGGTTTGGAGGCTTGTGCTCAGTCATTATTATAATATTTTCTTGTTTTATATTTTTAGTCTGATTCCAGGCTGCAATCTCATCCTTGCGGACTACGGTAAAACAGCCAGTGGTGTTCAGTTTCACCACAGCAGTGCTCTGAAAACAAACCTACATTAGACCGAGACAGAAAGACAGGACAAAATTAGAATTAAAGACGCTTTAGAGTCCAATTGTAGCGATGTTCTTTAAAAATACATATTTGAGTTTATTTTTGGAGAGAAAACATCAGGGAAAGTGCAGTGATCATCAATCTGGAGAACATTCATTAAAGTGTTTATTGTTAATATGAAAGTTTTCATGATGTCTCTGCCTCTTTTTCAGCATAACTTCAATGACCTGAGTGGTTCAGTGTCTTTGGCCTGGGTTGGAGATGGAACAGGGGTGAGTCAAAATCTGACCAGTTCATTTAACATAAGAATACAGAAGCAAAGCATGAAATTGATATAGTTTTAAATGTAGTTGGGGATGTTAGTATTTCTGTGTAATTTCTTTTCAATATATTCAATTGAATCCAGTGATAATACTTAAAGGAACACAAAAAAGGCTTAATTTACAACTCCCCTTGAGTTAAACAGCAGAGTTTACCCATTTTTGAATCCATTCTAGCGGGACCAATTTTAACTTAGCTTAGCATAGATCATTGAATCAGATTAGACCATTAGCATTCATGCATTTATTCATTCATTTTCTTGTCAGCTTAGTCCCTTTATTAATCCGGGGTCGCCACAGCATGAACCGCCAACCTATCCAGCAAGTTTTTACGCAGCCCTTCCAGCCACAACCCATCTCTGGGAAACATCCACACACACATTCACACACACACTCATACACAACGGACAATTTAGCTTACCCAATTCACCTGTACTGCATGTCTTTGGAGTGTGGGGGAAACCGGAGCACCCGGAGGAAAGCCACGCGAAGGCAGGGAGAACATGCAAACTTCACACAGAAACGCCAACTAAGCCGATGTTCGAACCAGCAACCCAGCGACCTTCTTGTTGTGAGGCGACAGCACTACCTACTACGCCACTGCCTCGCCCTATACCATTAGCATCTTACTTAAAAATGACTAAAGATTTTTTATAATTTTACCTATTTAACGCTCAACTCTTCTGTAGTTCTGTCATGTACTAAGACCAATATGGGAAGTTCCTATTTTGGAGTTCCGTTATGTCTAGATAAATATGTTGCACTCTCTCTACTCACCAGCAGTGAGATGAATAATAAATAAGAATATTAAGATTGTAACACTTTTGCTTTTATCAGATAATAGGATGAAATTGCACATTTTTATACACTTTACAATAAGTTTCATTGGTTAATGCATTTACTAACATGAACTAATCATGAACAACACATGTACAGCATTTATTAATCATAATTGAACATTTACTAATGCAATATTTACATCCAAGTCCATGCTTGTTACATTAGTTAATGCACCATGAGATAACATGAACTAACAATGAACTACTGTATTTTCATTAACTAACATTTACTAGCATGAACAAATACAGTAGTAAATATATTGTTCATTGTTTGTTCATGTTAGTAAATGCATTAATTAACATTAACTAATGAACCTTATTGTAAAGTGTGACCCTTTTTAAAAAAATTATTTTTATATATTGCCTTTTGGACTTAAGCATTATAAGTTTTTGTTGGTATTATTATTATTAATATTATTATTATCATTTTTCTTCATTTGCATACTTTTAAAGGTGCTGTATGTAAGATTTTAAGTCTTCTAAAGCATAAAAATACTATAAAATGTTTGCAGATAATTAAAGACTCTTGTTTATCTAAAAAACAATGCTGAGGTCAGATATTCTACTTTGAAAATGTGTTTTCCAGGCTGGAACGTTCGCCTTTGTTTTGGTTCTTTTAACCTGCCGACTGCCACTTCAGCCAATTATATTTCAGCACCCCGGATTGCCTTGGTGCAAAACCGCGTATTTCATTTATTTATTTAGAAAGGCTTTTAAAGCATGCGCCCATGACCAAAACGTGACCTTCAGTGGACAGTAGCAGACTCCGAAATGAGATGCAGATTCAGGGCTTTATCATACACCCGGCGCATGTTTGCCTCTGTTTGCCCCGACATGTTGCTATTTTCAGACCAGCGCAACCTTAATTTTCCCGTTTTCTGCCACGTTGTTTAAATGACAAATTCATTTGTGCCACTTTGTAGACTCATGGGTGTTCCGGTCAAGAAAAGAGGTGTGTTAAGGCGCATTGTTGGTGCGTTGCTATTTTGAGGATCTAAAATAGTCGGTTCAATAGACCAGATCAAAGCAGGTCTATAGTCCAGCGCAGAGCGCGTTAGTTGTGCGCCTCCCTTACACATTGCTTAATATACACAGGATGTACAGCATTACACAAATATCTTTACAAATGAAAAAAAAATAAAGGAATAAATTATTACAAAAATTATAATTTTCTACATAAATAATAAAACCACAGGGGCTTTTTTCAGTTTTTTCATTACAATTTGTATAATGTATTTATTATTATTATTATTATTATTATTATTATTATTATTATTATTATTATTATTATTTTTAAGTATTATTTATTATATGCATATTTATATATTTTTTATTAAAAACAAATTTAGATTTGTCCACATGTCAAGTTTTGGACCATATGGAGCATAGCACGTGTGTTTGGATATAACTCAGTTTATTGAGCACAGTTCGTTATTACTGTTCATTTATTAGTTTGGTGGAAATTATAAATAAATTTAAAAATAGTTTTAAAACAAATCTTTATGTTTAACAAACAAAATTAATTATTTAGGCTAATGAATTTCTTTAGTGGAGCGCATACAACACAATTTCCTCATCTACAAAAGAGAGAAAGAGAAAGAGAAAGTGAAAGTAAAGGCTGATTGGAGGAGGCTCATTCTTTATCCTCGCTGTAGATGCTCTGTTTAACTGTTTCTGGCTGGTGAAGCGTTCAGTTTTTCCACTTACAAAGTCCGCCATGTAAATAGCAAATGTGCTAAGGTGCAACGCAACTGACTCTTAAAGGGAATGGGAGATGAGACTCTGATTGGTTTATTCTCAAACACACCTATATTTCATTAAATAAGCACAACTCATTGAGATAAGCACTACCCTGTTACACCATGCGCCACGGTAAAGAGTATATTTTTCTGTCCTTAAAATAGCAAAAGTGGATTTGGACACACTCTTAATGCTTTTGCACCCTGCGCTTTAGACTCTGTGCCTAGACCATTAAAATAGAACCCTCAGAGTTCCACATGAGGTGGTTATTAATTAGCAAATAATTTAAATATTACGAACGTAAACAACACGCTAGGTAATGAGATTTACAGTGATAAGCAATTAGGCTGTTAGCACCGGACGAAACCCGGCAGAAATTTAAATACATCCATTCAGAAGCACAGAATACTCACAAAATGGTAAGGTTTATAATCTAATTGATACACAATAAACCTCTTTAACATTATTAAATGTTGATGCTGAATCACTGATACGTGTTGGTTTGTCACAGTTCTAAAATTAAATTTCGAACTGTTTATTTTATTGTCAAGGTCTGAGGTGAACTATCTACTGCTGCTTTCAGTAGTATGGCAATAAATGTCATGTAAAATGGCATTCAAACTCACATTGTTAGCATTTAACACTGAATAAAGCACATGAGGTGTACCTGAGGTAATCACAGTCAGTTATCTGTTGTTTGGCTGCTAAAATTAAAGCCGTTTCTAATATATCAATTCGAGTTGTGGGTTAGAACAAAAACTCATTTTAATATGGAGAATATTCCTTCTATCGTGTGCCGTTACTTTTATATAGAACATAATTTAAATCAGTCTTTAGGCTCAAGTCACTCGCTCGTGTTGGTCCTGAATCTGGCAACCTGCGCTTGTGTTTGTTTTGATCCAGGAATGCAATACCTAGTTCAACCACTGGGTGTCAAACTTACACACTGCACCTTTAAAGTAGGGAATTCCCTATGGTATCGTAAATGGTATAAAATATCGATATTTTGTAAGGTATTGTATTGTAGTTGAAAATTCCATTATCGTCACAACACTTTTGTATATTATTATGATATATTTAATTATTAAATATCGTAATATCATATGGGTGCCCATGTAGTTAACTGATGAAAAAATCTTGACGTTAAGTGCAAACCCACTATCCATTTGTTGCGTTCAATGGAAGAAAGCAACTCATAAAGATTTATTACCACATGAGGGAGAGTAAAGGATAAAGTAATTACAATTTTTAGGTGAACTATGCCTTTTATACCAACTGGAAACAGAGATTTAGTCACTGCTACTGTTTTTACTTGCCAGTAGCGAATGAACAGAATGTGTAATTGTCAGCCGAACCGTCTTAGCCACTAAGCTGTTCTGAAGTCAGCGCCACGATTTGACTTGCAGGAATGTGGCCTTACAATCACACGTCAATGCGAAACGAGAAGGAGTGAATTACAGATTCAGCGGCTGAAAGAGTCTTCAGAGTCTGCCTTGACAAGACCTCAAACCCTCATTTAGCGCCAACAACACTAGAGGATGAATCTGTCGCTTGGAGAACTGAACCAAAGTGCAGCTGTAAAACATGCAGAAGCTGTAATTACTGCCTCAGGCCAGCCTTCACCCAACAACAACAACACTTCGAGACGTTTCTGTTAACTCTGTGCAAACACTTTTCAAAGAATAGCATCTTTGGAGACGACTTTGTTGCTTTTTAGATGTTGAAATTAGCAGCTTTCCGGGAACTGTTTATTGGGTCTCTAATGAGTATTGTTCTGGTAAACAAGCTTGTTTCCTAGAAGTGCTTTTTGTATAAAGAAATATTAATCCAAATTTAGCCAATTTGCTTTTTAAAAACAGGAATTTGGCCTAAATGTATGTTTTAATTTATTTTTTATTGTTGGCGTGGGTTTTCTCTAGGTGCTTGGGTTTCCCCCACAAGTTTAAAGACATGCACTGTAGATGAATTGGGTAGGCTAAATTATCCGTACTGTTTGTGTGTAAATGAGTGTATATGGGTTGCAGCTGGAAGGGCATCCACTGCATAAGCATATGCTGGATATGTTGCCAGTTCATTCCACTGTGGCGACCCCAGATTAATAAAGTGACTAAGCCCAAAAGAGAATGAATGAATGAGTAAAATTAGCAATTAATCATAGTTATTATTATTATTGTTGTTGTTGTTGTTATTAATTAATAAATAATAATAATAATTATTATTATTATTTTTATTAATATAATTATAAAAATATTTGTAAAAATGTTTTTCGATTAAAAACAAAAATGTATTTTAACTCTTGCTGTAAACTTGCTCTTATTTTTTATATAATTTATTAATTTATTTTTATTTATTTATTTTTTCTCAAAGGATATGTTTGTTTTTCATTCATAAATATTATGAATTAAAATATGTTTTATTTTGATGGGATTGTAGGAAAATAAGAAAATTAGGATGATCTGTAATTTTTCCTATATTGTATTGTACATTTGAATTCAGAATTATTCGCCCCCGTTTAAAAAAAAAAAAATTCTTCGTTTTGAAATATTTCCCAAATGATGTTAAACAGAGCAAAGAATTTTTTCACAGTATGTCTGATCATATTTTTTTCTGGAGATTTTTCGTCTTTATTTTTTTATAAAATAAAAGCAGTTTTTATTTTTTAAACGCCGTTTTAAGGTCAAAATTATACAGAACAAATACAGAACAAACCATCATTGTACAATAACTTGCCTAATTACCCTAACCTGCCTAGTTAACCTAATTACCCTAGTTAAGCCTTTAAATGTCACTTTAAGCTGTATAGAAGTGTCTTAAAAATATTTAGTCAAATATTATTGACTCTCATCATGGCAAAAACTAAATAACTCAGTTATTAGAAATGAGTTACAAAAACTTTTATGAATAGAAATGTGTTGAAAAAATAATAAACAGAAATTGAGGGGAAAAAATGTACAGGGTGGCTAACAATTCTGACTTCAACTGTATATTTATCCACAATAGTAAAGTTTGTTTCGTTATTAATGTATCTATTTATTTATTTATAAAAGTCCTTTATTATCACTACTAATGACTGTGTTTAAAACAAAATAACATCAGCACTTGAAAAAACGTGCGCTGTGGCTAACCATGGCGATGCTTGTTCTATTTACTTCAGATGGTACTAAGCTGTGACAAAGAGGATAGAATACGCAAAACATCCACTCCCATAGTTTTGAATGGGGAAAAGTGTAAGTCAATGTGATTAATGAAGCCCCACCTTCTAGTACAGGAGCCAATCAGGGATCACTATAGACAGACGATTTTCCGAGGGAGGAGCTTGGACCAGATGTGAATTTCTGCAGATTTTATGACTTAAACGTTTAGAAATGAAACTAAAGAGACAGATGTCATTTAATTTAATTGGTGTTTCCTAATATAAAATTTAATCATAAGCTTGGCAAGCAATTTTGAAGAATTTGATGTTTCTCTATTCAGACGGAATGCCCGAGCATACTGCCCAAAAGGCGTTTTAAAGACGGCCACAAAGTGAAATGACATGCTTTAAAGGGACTTTGGCTGCGCCTAGGGAAAGACACTGAAGTCCCAATGTGATTTTGTTTCTCCTGATAATTCAGGCACTTGTAATCTGCCTACGAGTTCCGCAACCGGGACACGTAACAGATGCAACTTTTTTCGTTCTTTTATAACCTGTTTTAACACATTTTAGTCTGTTTTTTTTATCTGTTTTAATCATTTTTAATTCTCTTGATAATTTTTATTTTCCTGTTGTCTTCTGTTGTATCCGTTCCAGTTCTTATTGTTTCTTTTATTCTTGTTTATGTAAAGCACTTTGAATTACCATTGTGTATGAAATAAGCTCACCTTGCCTTGCTTTGTCTTGTCTGCTATGTCTTGTAACACTAATAAATAAATGTAAAAGTAATAATAATAACAATAATGAATAATAGTAACAATTTAATATGTAATTAATAATTAATTAATCTAAAAATATTTAACATTTTGATCTGACATCACTGGCCTGCATTGTTATAAATGAATTATTCTTATAATTATTAATAATAATGTTATTATTATTGTTATTAATAATAATAATAATAATTGTAATAATGATAATAAAATATTCAATTAATTAACTAATTAATTCTTATTATAAAAAAGGTAAAAATGTAAAACAATATGAAATGTAGTTCCTTATTTTAATTTATATTTTAAAGTATTTAAGATTTTTTTTGTGGACCCATTATGAAAGCTTCTGTACAAATATTTTAATTTTATTTAATTTTGTTATTTAATTTAATTAGATTTTTTTCATTCTTTTTGTTTAGATTATATTAAATCAAGAGAAACAAAAATGGTAAAATAATTTAAATTATGTTTAAGACTGAGACATTACTTGAATACATTTTATTATACTCTAACATTTATTGTTTTGTTTATTAAATAATTAATGAATTTATTTATTTGTTACCCTGCCTGAGTCTTAACAGACATAAAATAATATCCGTAAAGCTCTACTTTTCATGGGTTTAATCTAATATAAATGTGTACGCTTTAAAGCTCTGCCTCTTTTTTTATTATTTTTTTTATTTAAGCAAAATCACCTACACTGTGTGGACTCCTAACCATTGCTTTCTTCTTATGGAAATGTGTTTGATTATAGAGTTAAAATGAATAGCAAGTATTACGTCACGTTGACTTTAAGTGTTAGAGACAGGAGTTAAATGAGAACCAGCCACTGACCAATCAGAAGACTTTCCTGCAGCAGAAGCGCCTGAACTTGACTGATCTTTGAATAAACGATTGTGAAGGTTGAAATTGTGGCTCTGCTCAAGTCCAGGCACGCAATATCTTGACCCAGCTAGAGTTTAATTCTCTGTCAAGGCACACTGAAATTAAAATGATGCTAAATAGTACTAAAAGTGGTGCATTGGCTTATAAACATAACAGAATCACTTTGAGTGTTAAACAGCAACTTTACCGCATCAAAACACATTGACTTGTATAGAAATATATAGAAATAAGAATGACTTTAATTGATCAAAAGGTGCTTTGTAAGTGTTTCTAAACCTTCATGAGTTTCTTTCTTCTGTTGAACACAAACAAAGATATTGTGAAGAATGCTGAAAAAGTAATAGTAGGATAAAAAATACAACAGAAGTCGATGGCTGTTTCTTCAGTATATATCTTCCCTTGTGTTCAACAGAAGAAAGAAACTCAAACAGATCTGGAACGAGTGGAGCATGAGTAAATATTGAGCAAATATTCATGTTTATACCTTTAACAGATTCTTTATGTGCGCCATGATCGCCTCCAAAAAAAACAAAGAACCATATTTTTTGTGTGTGTATGCAGTAATGTTCACCATTTTTCACCAAAATCTCTCTCGTGTGCAGGTCCTGCTGGTTTTGACCACATTCCAGGTCCCTCTTTTCATCATGCGCTTTGGTCAGTCCAAACTCTACAGAAGGTAAGACTGATTTTTAGAGCTGTCCAAAAATATATTTAAAGGGCACCTTATATGTAAAAGCACTTTTATAAGGGGTTTAAACACAACACTGTTATGTGGCTGCAGTCTTTGAATATAACCAGCTTCTAATGGTCAAAATCTATTCATTTCATTTTTTATAATCACACTTCATAAAAACACAAACACTTTGCAAAAACAATTTGATCGTCATTTTCGCTTTATACGTGTCATTAGAGGGGAAAAGCCCTGCCCATTAGTAACTATCTCTTCCTCGTTAGCCTAGGACTTAAAGGGCCATGAAACCCCCTCGTTTCAGCAGGGTGTTTTCACACCTCTACTTTGGAAAAAGTCAGAAAAGTGGGCGTGTCCAGCTCTGTTTAGGGGGGAGTGTAGGAGGAAGAAAAGGGGGATGGTGTGGGAGTGTCTATTGGGCACGCGCGAGTTTCAGTCAAAATACACACACATACACACAGGAGAAAGTGATGGTGTTTAACCTACATGGACATCTGTAGTCGAATTATTTGCCAAATTATTAAATGGCGGACTTTAACTGCAGTTTGGTTCTTTCATTCAGGGAATTCATTCATCTCCCTCTCGACAAACGAGATATTTGATTCGAGGATCTGCTCTAAGCGTGTATTTTTCATGCAATGTTTGATACCGCACGGCGAATGAGAGAAAAAAAACCCTCTGCATTTCCCGGAAACTTAGATGCACACGCCAGGTAGCATCAGAAAGCCGCGTGTGTTATTCCGGTCATTAAATGCGGTAAAAACCCTACACGAGGTTAAAGTTTGGTTGTGGTGCTAACATGTTTAGACTCGGTGCAATAGTTTGTTCGATACGACACGAGAGCACTGGTCGCTCACTTACCAAATCTGTAGAGACAGGACAATCACCAGCAACAAGGGCCGCGTCTTTATTAAGAGGAGACTAAAGCGAATCAAGATCTCAGCGTTTGCAGATGAGAACAGCTCTCAGGTAAACAATAATCCTCCTTAGACACGCAAGTTATTGTTGTCGAGCGTCGCGTACACTGTTAATCCATTGCGTGAGTCTGAGCTCTCACAGAGAGAAAATGAAAACGAAACTTAACTGCAGCAAACTATAAAAGCAACACTTCACGCTTATTTTGCCAACACAACGTGGCGTCTCTGCCGTCTAAACACTATGACACTATGAATATTAATGAAGTTGCACAATAGAGCGCGCTGATTGGTTTGAACCAAGTCTTACTCATGCATTAATGCATCACACTGTAAGACATAATAAGACACACTCTGGCACAGGCGTCCAGTCTGCACGCTGGAATACACGCTATTTTGTCATGACCGTGACGCAGCTTCAAAAATTAGTTTCAAACCGGAAGTACGAATTTGCTTGAAATAACGCAAAAACAACCAATTTACACTTTTCAGTGAAATATAGGTGTCCTAATAGTGTTTTTAGCAGTGTGGGACACATATACAACTGTCAACAGCTCAAAAAATGTGTTTTGGTGTTTCGTGACCCTTTAAGTCTTGCTCTGCAGACATATGTAGCTCTGCCCTCTTTTAAAAAGAGCACAACCAATTTAAAGCGACAGTCACCTAAATGACACAATTAAAATTAAAGCCTAAAAGGGGCAGCTTTAAAGAGTTATGACATATAAACTTTACTTGTGTGGTATTTTAAGCTGAAACTTCACATACACACTGTAGGGACATCAGAAACTTGTACATCTTGTGAAATGGGATTAATAGGTCCCCTTTAACGCAAATCCCACCAGATGAAACTAACTTATCGATGTGGCCTGTTATCTCTTCTTGGTCAGTGAAGACTATGGAAAGACATTTCAGGACATCACGGACCTCATTAACAACACCTTCATACAGACAGAGTTCGGCATCGCAATTGGCCCTGACAATTCCGGCAAGGTAAAAAATGATTTCTCTGCTATACTAAGTGAATGTGAAAAGTTAGATTTTTATACACTTTTGAATGGTACTAATGACAATGCTCTTTAATTTTGAAATACACGTGGAAATTACTCAACAAAATATAAATAAAAACATTACAAACACTAACAAATAAATCTGAATTTCAATATTAATAATGGAATCTTAAAGAATTTGTCAAATTTTATTTCTATTATTATGGATATTTGTGTTCATTTATATGCATCTCTTCCAGATTAAAATAGGCAGAAATCATTAAAGGGATAGTTCACCCAAAAAATTGTATTCTGTCATCATTTCCTCATCCTTGTTACTCACTACTTGTTTCAAACATTTATGATTTTCTTTTTTTTCTGTTGAACACAAAAGAAGATATTTTGAAAAATGCTTGAAACCTGTAATTATTAGCCACACTTTCACTATCTCGCCTAAAGCGAGCTTGCTATGGTGAGCCAGGGCCAGTCGTGTTTTCATTGTCACTTCCGGGGTCTAATCGGGCTAAATCAGGGCTTCATCAGGCCCAGCAGCTGGCATTTTTCGGCCTGGTGAATACCTTGTGCCAAAGAGGGTTAGCTGGGGATTCAGGGCAGAGTGAAAGGAGAGGCAGAGTTTGCCAAAGTCTGATAAAGGTGGCGTGCTGCCATTACACTAGTATTTCAGATTTTCAGAATTTCTATTTCCAATCGCACACGAGGACTTGCACCAAACAAATAAAAAAATAAGGGAAAGAAAATCATTAAGCTGGTCAGTTTAAGGTAGGCTATTCCATAAAACACCTTATAGGCTAGAGGTCTTTTATAGTTGCCCTTATCTTTCCCTTTTAAGTGTAAAGATAGAAATAAAAACGACTTTAATTTTTTACACTAAGTGATATTTCTTTGCTGCGTCCTCCTTGATGTTTCAATAACATAAAATAATCTTTACATCATATTAAAGACACAGCAGCCAGTAACTTTGAGTTGTCGAGAGTTTTTGTCAAGTTTAAAAGGTGTGTTTGTGCATGAAACGTGCGCATTTAAATCGTTTGAATAATTACAAATATTGGATATAATTAAATTCACATTAAATAAATGAACCAAAATAAAACAAACAAAATCTATAACAATGTTGGTATATATTTTAAGCAAAGGTCTATAAATATTTTACAAAGGCCTATCTGAAATTTTTTTTTGGGATATTATCTAAAAACAATAAACTACTGAGAAGTTTAGAAATATTATTTATAAAGTATTTGGATACGATAATATTAACCAAATCGTGCAAACAGATGGGGGAGTGAAACCATCAGAAACGTTCTACTTTTGTGGCATCCAGTCTTGCGCAGTGCTGCTTTACAAAACATTGGGAAAAACAGCACGTAAAAAATGTGTTCTGTGTCCTTATACAAATGTTTATGTTTTATTATGACGTGGTAAAAATTAAAAACGAAATTTTACATGTAGAGCTTTATTAGTGGATAACTGCTGAGCGCAGTGAAATATAGGCTATATTTTATTACTTGCTCTTATGTGCTGACACACAACACTTTCCTTTACTTAAAATAAACAAATAATATGCAACATCCTTACATTTTTCTCTTAAATAAAAGGGAATGACCTAAGAGCCATATAGCTTAGGGAAAAATTAATGTTTTAGGTCTCTCCGGAGAATTTGAGCTGAATGTTTGATGGCGTCTATCAAAACGAGGATGTTATAAAATACATTTTATACCGAATTATTACCGGTTATTATTTCTGCGGTTATACATTATGGATGGGTGCGCTCACTGTGCTGGATCATCCCTCCATTAGTGGCAAGACCACTCGATGCACAATGCCAACAGTTGGTTGGCGAGTAAACAAATATAATGAATGAAAATACATAGGCCTGTGCGTATAGACATATAATGTAATGTACAGCAGGGCTATTCAATTAGTTTGTCATGGGGGCTAGTTTATGAAAAGCATCCCATACGATGGGCTGGAGAGATATAATTTGCTATATGAGTAATAACACAACTGCTTACTGCATATAAAAGCCCATATGCTGTATTTTTGCTCCACGTTGGCTTTTTCTACATTAAAATGTTAATATATTGTATTTTGAAACTACATAAAATCACTGCATAGTACAATAGACTTTTTCCTTTTTTTTTTTTTTTTTTTTTACAAACATTCAAATGTTGTATTTCAGAGCACAACAAAAGCAGTGCATTGCTGAAGTAAGCTTCTTCTACATTCAGACACATTCATATGATATGTTTTGAACTGTATAACAATTATGGATGCAACAATAATAGATTTTAATTGTACAATTATATAATGTGAAGAATAATCATGGTTTCACAGTTATCACGTCTCATGTAAATTCAAGCTTTATATTAAGCAAGTAGCTATTTATATTACCTGTTGTTGCAATCTGCATTCATACATACAGTACATAATTATTTTAATAATAATTCGCCTTACATATCTTTTGTTTACATTGCACTGAAAGGCACGCACAACTCTCAGCGCGAGATTTTTTCTACTGCAGCTCATGCTATATTTAACAGACGCACTTGACTTCATAACTATAGCGGCCGCTTTTCGACTGAACTAAATTTATTTTTGATGTCTTGGTCACACTGTTTGGAGGGCCAGAACAGGAGGGCCTGGTTCGGACAATTGAATAGCCCTGATGTACAGTAACGTGTCATCTGTCGTGGCCCAATAAAAGCCCTGGCTCGCACTGGCCCAACAGTGGAAATGCGACTATTGACTTCCGTTATTTTTAGGTTGATGGTTATAGGTTTTCAGCTTTCTTCAAAATATCTTCTTAAGCATTCAAAGTACAGAATAAAGAAACTCGTAAAGCTTTGGAACCACTTGAGGGTTACTTAATTGTGATTAAATTTTAATTTTAGGTGAACTGTTTCCTTTAAGAGCGTTTAAAATACAAATAAATATGTTAAGCAATCTTTTAAGTCATCAAACTGCTTCATGATTTGTCCCACAGGTGATCCTCACAGGGGATTTGGCTGAGGAGAAAGTCACCAAAATCTTCCGCTCGGTTGATTTCGGCAAAAGCTTTGTGACCTCTGAGCTTCCCTTCCATCCGTTAATGCAGATCACTTACAATCCCAAAGACAGCAACATACTCATGGTCTACAGCATCAATGTAAGACAACAGATTAGACATTATTTTTGTGCTCCTTTTATTTTGTACTAACACTCTTTTCATCTGGTTTCAGTATGACTTATGGCTGTCGAAGGACTTTGGAGCCAACTGGAAGAAGATCCATGAGAGTGTTTGTCTAGTAAAATGGTATGAACGTCAGTAATTGTAGGAATACTTGTTATTCACTGTTGTTTTATCGGCAAAAAATCAATACAAAGTAAAATATATCTTGACATAGGGCTGTGTGAATAATTGAAGGTGTTTTTCATGTCAGCAAATGTTGTGCATTTTGTCAGTAAAGCTGGTTCTGGTAAAACTTCAGCACATACTTTCAGATGGAGCAGCATTTGCTAAACAGAGTCATAGTTCACTGACAAGCTACTCAAAATCAAATTAAATTTGGAAATAAATTTAATGGGTGACGCAGTGGCGCAGTAGGTAGTGCTGTCGCCTCACAGCAAGAAGGTCGCTGGTTCGATCCTTGGCTCAGTTGGCGTTTCTGTGTGGAGTTTGCATGTTCTCCCTGCGTTTGCGTGGGTTTCCTCCGGGTGCTCGGGGTTCCCCCACAGTTCAAAGACATGCAGTACAGTTGAATTGGGTAGGCTAAATTGTTCGTAGTGTATGAGTGTGTGTGTAAATGAGTATGTGTGGATGTTTCCCAGAGATGGGTTGCGGCTGGAAGGGCATCCGCTGCGTAAAAAAAATGGGCTGGATCATTCCGCTGTGGCGACCCCAGATTAATAAAGGGACTAAGCCGACAAGAAAATGAATGAATGAATAAATTTAATGACCTAATACATTGAGCATAGAGCTAACGCTAACTTTGTATGCCTCTAATTGTAGATTGAGTTGTGAGATTGAGGATTTAGGCCCAATGAGTATTAATTCTGTTTTGTCTGAGTTTAAGAGAAGAAAATTGTTGGTCATCCAGACTTTAACTCTCTAATACACTCAGTTAGCTTAGACAGTTCAGACATCTCATCAGGTTTAGTTGAAATATATAATTGAGTATCATCTGCATAGCAGTGAAAGCTGATCCCATGTCTTCTAATAATGTCTCCCAGTGGTAGCATGTCAATTGTAAACAGCAAAGGGCCTAAAACTGATCCTTGAGGCACCCCATACTTTACTGGGCTGACTTGTGAAGGCTGTCCATTAATATTTACAAACTGGTAACGGTCAGTTAAGTATGACTTAAACCATTGTAGAGCCTGTCCCTGGACACCTGTAGACTTTAAGCGATTTATGAGGATATTGTGGTCAATGGTGTCAAATGCCACACTAAGATCGAGTAAAACTAATAGCGAGATGCACCCTTGGTCAGCAGCTAAGAGTGAATCATTGGTTATTTTCACTAATGCGGTTTCTGTACTGTGATGAGCCCTGAAACCTGACTGAAACACTTCAAAAATATTGTTTGTCTGCAGAAAGGAGGATAATTGAGTAGAAAAAACTTTTTCTAGTATTTTAGACTTAATTGGAAGATTTGAAATAGGCCTGTAATTAGCTAAGTTGTTGGGGTCCAATAGCGGTTTCTTAATAATAGGCTTAATAACAGCTAGCTTGTAACAGTTTGGAACATGGCCTATAGATAAAGAAGAGTTGATAATGTTAAGAAGAGGTTCTCCTATAGCAGGCAGCAATTCTTTCAGTAATTCTGTTGGAATTGAGTCCAGCATACACGTAGCTGGTGTAGAGCTATTTATAATTTTATGTAGCTCTTCCTGTTCTATGATTTTGAAGCACTGTAGGTTATTATTATGATTCAGTGAAATATTTACAGGATTTGAAGTATAAGCCGATGTTGAAAGTTTAACATCTCTTATTTTCTGTCTAAAGCCTTCTATTTTATCACTGAAAAAATTCATGAAGTCATCACTAATAATTTGCAGTGGAACATTTTGTTCCAAGGATGACCGATTATTTGCTAATTTAGCAATGGTTTTAAATAAAAATCTAGGATTGTTATGATTATTTTCTATCAGTTTGCGGAGGTGCTCGGCCCTGGCAGATTTTAGAGCCCTTCTATACCTGGACATACTGTCTTTGTACGCAATTCTAAAGACCTCTAGGTTCTTGATTAAAAAACTAGGTTCAACTAGGTTCTTGACTAAAAAAGCCTTAAAAGAACATTATGTTGCCCAACAATAGCAATATTTGTCAAATTGTAAAGTGTCCTCTGCTTGTTGCTGTATGTGGGCGAAGTAATACACAAGGGTGAAGAGGCTGGATGAGTGCTGTTTTTTGCAGAATAATCAGCCAATCAGATTCAAGAACCTGACAGAACTGTTGTATAAATATATAGGTAAAAAAAATAAGTTAAATTATTTGAATTAGGTAAAAAATATATAGGTGAAAAATATTTTGTATGCTATTAGTCACAGTTTAATCGCTAAACAGCACTATTTGAGGTTACGATTCTAATACGAAAGCATATTTCATTGTCATTTCAAGCCAAGGTTATTAAATTATTTTTCAGACGAAAAACAGCATGTCTTGGCAGAATGTTTGAGGTTTTGTTTTCCATACAATAGCAGTTAAACAGTTAAAGCACCATAAAATGCACTAGAAAGCTATTTTGACTTGCTGTTTTTGCAAAAACTGTTTCTTTGAGGTTTGCAGTTCTAACCCTCATGAATATAGTCTTGGTTTCATTTCATATGCTGAAGAAATTGATGCCTTTTGCTTAAATATGAAGTCGCCATCCTTTTTAATTTGGCATCAATTTTTGGATTGTCTCCGTTTCAGGGGAATTGATGACACCATTTTCCTAACCACAAACCCCAATGGATCCTGCAGTGAGTGGCTTTATTTTAGCACAATATTCAGGATTATCTGAACAATGTTTGGAAATGAAAAGATGCTTTTTGTTCCTCGTTCATTTTTGTTTTCTCTCTCTTGTAGGTGACCGGGGGACTCTGGAATTGAGGAAATCATTAGACTATGGCAAAACATTCAAAACTATAGGAAACAGGATTTATTCTTTTGGCCTGGGTGGACGCTTTGTTTTTGCATCCATCATGACAGATTCGGTGAGCTCTTATAAATTCATATCAAAATTGATCCAAAACCTTTAAAAAACACAGGTAGACAGATTTTTTCATGTTGTCAACATGTCAGGAAGACTCTAGGGATGCCTATGATTAATCAAGGATTGATGAATTGTTATTAAGTCTTTAAATTAATATACATTATTAATGGTTTTGAACTGCATGTGGCTTGTATTGTAAACAAACAGCATATGCCAGAGGAAAATTCAGCAAGCATGCATTTAATTAAATCTATCCACTACTATATTTGGAGAAAAAAATGGGGCATCAGTTTAATGTTTAGAGTTGTTGTGTTTGTTTTACATCATTTCTTTTCATATTCTAAAATGGTTGTAATCTCTTAATTGTCTAAATTAGATTGTAAATTATACATATAGCTTTTTAAAATCAAGTTATTTTAGTAAACAATTTAAGACTAAAACTATTGGCAAAAAAACAAACATTTTTGTTAACTAAAATAAAAATATTTTAAAAACTACAACAATAAATTATAAGCAAAATCTATCTATCTATCTATCTATCTATCTATCTATCTATCTATCTATCTATCTATCTATCTATCTATCTATCTATCTATCTATCTATCTATCTATCTATCTATCTATCTATCTATCTATCTATCTATCTATCTATCTATCTATCTATCTCTGTCTGTCTGTCTGTCTGTCTGTCTGTCTGTCTGTCTGTCTGTCTGTCTGTCTGTCTGTCTGTCTGTCTGCCTGCCTGCCTGCCTGCCTGCCTGCCTGCCTGCCTGCATGTCTACCGTGCTATCTTTTTAGCTATCGTTCTGTCTATTTAGCTAACAGTTAATTTAAGCTTTGCTGTGGTTGGCTCTGAATGGGTCCTGTTAACTGTATTAAACTAGAATTACTAAAACTGAAACAAAAAAATAAAATAACGAAATAAAAGTGTGTTGATGAAATAAAAACTAAAGGGGTTTAGATTGAGATCAGATCCTCTATATCTGAGAAACTATTTTCTGATCCGGAGAAAATCAAAAACACTTGTCTTCTTCTTTTCCAGGGTTCCACACGGATGATTCATGTGTCTGTGGATCAGGGGGAGACGTGGGATATGGCTCAGCTGCCCACTGTTGGCCATGAACAGTTCTACTCCATTTTAGCTGCAAACAATGATATGGTCTTCATGCATGTAGATGAACCTGGAGGTGAAGCATTGTTTACTATTCATTATCATTGTTTTGACATGATATATGTGTGTGTGTGTGTGTGTGTGTGTGTGTGTGTGTGTGTGTGTGTGTGTGTGTGTGTGTGTGTGTGTGTGTGTGTGTGTGTGTGTGTGTGTGTGTGTGTGTGTGTGTGTGTGTGTGTGTGTGTGTGTGTGTGTGTGTGTGTGTGTGTGTGTGTGTGTGTGTGTGTGTGTGTGTGTGTGTGTGTGTGTGATGGGCACACTCGCCTCACAGCAAGAAGGTCGCTGGTACAAGCCTTTGTTTGGTTCAGTTGGCATTTCTGTGTGGAGTTTGCATTTACTTCCCGTTTTGGCGTGGGTTTCCTCTGGATGCTCGAGTTTCTGAGTTTATATATGTATATGTATATGTGTGTGTTTGTGTGTATATGTCTTTCTTTTTACTGAACTAGTCTGTAGTAACCAAAACAGGAGACACTCATTACAAAAAAAAAAAACAGATGGCCAACCAGAAAGTAACTCAGGCTTGTACAAAAAGTGGTCAACACAAAATACATATATTCATAATATGCGAATCCCATCTCACACTCAATACACTTCAATTACTATGGTATAAATACAGCACTACAACATACAAAAGAGAGAGATCAACTTACGATGTCATTTACCTGTTTTATAATGATTTGATCAGCTGTAGTTTGAAATTATGCTGAGTTTATCTTCTCTAAGGGCTTATTTTGCTGTCTCTGTTGCCATCTTGTGGATGGATAACGTCAGCTGTCTTTTTCCTCAGCTCAATGACAGGCTAATTGATGTGAAATTATAAATATTTAAAATAGGCACTATCCTTATAATAAAAAAACTGCATAGTTGCAATCTAAACAACTAACTTCTCACCTTAAAAAGTCTCAAAGTTACATTATGTTGTCCAACAGCTGCAATATTTGTCATTCTGTAGAGAGTTTATTGATCTGCTGTCACTATGTGGGCGGAGTAATACAGAAGAGTGAAGAGGCTGTACGCGTGGTTGTACATTTATTGCAGAATATCGCACAACCATCAGCCAATCAGAACCAGATTGAACTGGTGTGTACGTGTGTGTGTGTGTGTGTGTGTGTGTGTGTGTGTGTGTATGTATATATATGTACGTAAACAACATCAGTTAAATTGTTCATTTTTCCATTATTTAAGTTGGCTTACTTTAAGCTTACTATTAACTTTCATTTATTTACATTTCAGTTCAGTTTTTAGTTATTTTACATTATCAGTTATCAATTTTAAATTTAATTTAGGTAGTTAATCGCAAAATTGTTTTTATTTATTTTTTTTTATCTTTTACATTTGTACTTATCAAATGTTTGTATTATGTAATGTAATTTCATACAACTATTTGAAAACATTATTAAGGGCACTTTTTAAAAATATATATTTTTGTCATTTCAAGCTCATTTAAAACAACACACACACACACACACACACACACACACACACACACACACACACAAATACCATTCATGCATATAGTTTCTTATATTCCATTTAATCTTGATAGTAACAATGTTTATTTTTCTCCATCAGACTCTGGCATTGGTACCATATACATATCAGATGATCGAGGTATAGTGTTTTCCAAGTCTCTGGAGCGTCATTTGTACACCACTACAGGCGGCGACACCGACTTCACCAACATCACCTCTCTGAGAGGCGTCTATATAACCAGCGTCCTTGCCGAGGGTCAGTAAGCAGAACCACACATATTTATCAAGAGTTTATATGCAGTTCAAGTCAGAATTATTTGCCCCCTGCATATTTGTTTTCCCCTATTATTGTTAAACGGAAGGAAGGTTTTTTTCAATATATTTCTAAATAATAGTTTTAATAGCTCATTTCTAATAACTGATTTATTTTATCTTTGCCATGATGACAGTAAATAATATTTTACTAGATGTTTTTCAAGACACTTCTATACAGCTTAGTGACATTTAAAGACTTAACTTGGTTAATTATGTTACTTGGGCAAGTTAGGGCAATTCGGCAAATCATTGTATGACGATGGTTTGTTCAATAGACAGTCGAATAAATATAGCTTAATAATAAATAAGGCTAATAATTTTGACCTTGAAATGGCTTTAAAAAATTTAAAACTGCTTTTACTCTAGCCAAAATAAAACAAATAAAACTTTATCCAGAAGAAAAAAATATTATAGGAAATACTGTGAAAATGTCCTTGCTCTGTTGAACATCATTTGGAAAATATTTGGGAAAAAGTAAAAATTCCCAGGAAGGCTAATAATAATTTTGACTTGAACTGTATGTACTTATACTACATGCTTGATTCTGATTGGTTGCTGAAGAGTTAATTTCAGATAAACACACAGCTAAAGTAGCTTCGGGCAGATATTGATCACATTACAGTTCCAACTTACTACCCCAAGTGTGCATTTTTTTTTCGAGTAATTTTAAGGGACCAAGATCAATTATTCTAACATCTTCTCCATCCAGACGGCTCAGTGCGGACGGTGATCACGTTTAATCAGGGTGGAGAATGGAGGCCTCTGATGAAGCCCTGGAATGGAGTGTGTGACTCCACCGCCAAACATCCCAGTGAGGTGAGAGATGCAACACACACACACACACACACACTGACCATCTGAACTATTAAGCCATGATCACAATGCACTTTTCGCCCCATAGGCTTCCATTCATACCTGAAATGCGAGTTTGTGCAAAAAGTTTTGAATAGTGCTGCATTTCAAAGTTTTACCACTCTTGGAATTTGCATCACTTTTTGTAAGGCCAATAGAGATCGAAACGTGACCTCTCTGAACAGGAATTGTAAATATGGAGTAATGGATCATTTCATAAGTTTTACTCGCCTTTTTTTGCAGCATCTTACGATTTTTAGTCTCTACTGTGGCTACTGTGGTAGTTTTATTAGCAGTTTGAATGAGCTTTTATTGTAATATTTTATTTCATCAGTTTTTTACATTAAGTAGTTTATTTATTTTTCTTGTTTAATAAATCACGTTCCTTTTTAAATATATAAGTATATGTTTAATTATATAACAGGTAATACTTATTTTATTTAAAGAAAAAAAGCATTTTGTGAAAAAGTTTTTTTCCATTTAAACTTTTTAAAAATAAAAACACAAAACTATCAAACATTTAATCCATGAAAGGACAGACTAATAATATAACACATCACACTGATGCAACGGTGAAGAATAGTTCACATTTCTGAGACCTTTCTCAGGGCTAAAACACTTGTAAATACAATATGAACGCTTGTAAAAATGCTACTTTAGAAGTTAATCGTTAAATGACTTCTTTTTGTTCCGGAAAACAAGCACTTAAATAATAATTTTGCTGTTTGTGTGTCTTAAGCAACAGGAATAACGTGAATGTGTGTGATTTGTGTGTGTGTGTGTGTTCTGCAGTGTAGTCTGCATATTCACGCCTCCTACAGCATCTCTATGAAACTGAATGTGCCTATGCAGCCTCTCTCCGAGACCAACGCCGTGGGACTCGTCCTGGCACACGGTGAATAATGCCCACATTCAATATCATACACAAAACTACCACCGACATCCCAATCAAACGTCAAAAGTCTATCTTTCTCCCACCACATCACAACTCAAATAAACAAAAAGTAACAAATAATCAATAGATTTTAGTGGTATTCTCTCTTGTTTTATCACAGATAGTATAAGGTAGGTGTTTTAAAAGACAATCTCACAGTCATGCTGCATTTCTCTGAATTTTCTCCATCTGCTTGTGTGTTCAGGCAGTGTCGGAGGAGCCGTCTCTGTGCTTTCTCCAGACGTGTACGTGTCAGATGACGGAGGCTACACGTGGTTCCAGGCGCTGAAAGGCCCCCATCACTACGCCATCCTGGATTCAGGAGGACTGCTGGTGGCGGTGGAGCACAACCCCACACACCCCATATCACAGATCAAGTAGAGCTTTCTGTATATTACTGTATACTCTGAGACAGAAATGATACTGCGATTATATAAAATAGGGCTGCACAATATTGGAAAAAACGTACATCACGATATTTAACTTTTCTGCAACTTATTATGTGATTTTTCACAAGATAACTTAATTTTAGATTGATTGGGATGATTTTGTAGGGGAGTCGTGCAGAAATGTAACAAATTACAAGCAGAGCAGGGGGGGGGGGCGCTGGCACCGGTATGACTTTTTTATTGTAAACTCATTTACTTTATATTTAGATTCATCAACATTAAACAGCTGTGACCTATCATCGAATTTTAAAGGGCCACGAAACACCACAACACATTTTTTGAGCTGTTGACAGTCGTATATGTGTCCCACACTACTAAAAACACTATTAGGACACATAAATTTCACAAAAAAGTGAAAATTGGTTGTTTTTGCGAATTTAGTGATTTTTAGCAAATTCGTACCTCCGGTTTGAACTGCGTCATGGCCATGAGATCTTAGCGTGTATTCCAGCGTGTAGACTGGACGTCTGTACCTGGGAGTTCTGTATTGCATCTCTGAGTTTGTTGCATTCATTCATGAGTATAGCTTGGTTCAAACCAATCAGCGCGCTCCATTATGTATGCGCTGCAACTTCATTAATATGCATGCTAGCTTTCTTAGACTGTACCTGAAACAGTGTTCAGACGGCAGAGAGACGACACATGTCGTGTTGCCAGAAGGAGTTGGAAAAGAATAGAATTGTTTGGCGATACGGGTCGCCAGTGTTGTTTTTATAATGTGAAGGTTTTGTTTTCATTTTCTCTCTATGAGAGTGCTGCTGGACTCATGTGTGGATTTCTAAGTTACTTAGTTTACAGTACGTTAATATCACAACAATATTGAAAGATCCACTGTAAATGCTGCTCTCTGTGTGTAAACACGTGAACACTGAAAGCAAACTTTTGCCGACCGTCGTGTTGAATTTTCGCCGCATTTTGTGACAGGATAGTCTACACACACACGGCTTTCTGACCTACTGAGTGCATCTGAGTTGCAGAGAAATGCAGAGTTTTTTTTCTCTGATATGACGTGCGGTATCAAACATTTCACCGCCTTTAAACACACTGTCTTTCTCCCCTGCGTGTGTGTTTGTTTTTCCTCGGCCAGCAGTGCATGCACAAATGGTATCTCTCATTTTTATTCAAACCCTGCCCAGACACTCCCACCCAAACAGAACTAGACACACCCACTTTCCTGACTTTTTTCAAACTAGAGGTGTAAAAACATCCTGCTGAAACGGGCGGTTTCATGGCCCTTTAATAATTATGTCTACCGAATGAAGCCGCTGTATGTAATATACCAAGCGGCAACCTCCTGCTCTCCCTCAGGAAGCCAATAAGGAAGTAACTAAAACTGCAATTCATCCGAAATTCTGCTAGTCTTGGCCGCTCCTGACTCCAAAATAGAGCAAATTTTAATTGAGCCCACTGTTAGAATGGCCAACTTTACAGCAGAAAAAAAGGTGTTTACAGCCTGGTACAAAAAAAGATTTTGGTTAATACAGCTAATATTACCCTTCATGACAACTGTGAGGGGGGTGAATGTTTTTATAACTCATCCGTTTCCTTTATATTAAGTTATATTAAGTTTGCATAATTAAGGGCGTGGCCACTTGAGTGACAGCTAGGTCTCGCTGCTCGCCGTCACGTCACCTCAGCTGAATCCTGCAGATTAGCCACTGATCTCGGCATATTTATTGTATTTCTGTGTTGTTTTATGTGGCTTTACACAGTCGACTGCCTTTTGGACTTCCTACAATTATTAGATGGCATGGCATGCTGAGTGCACTTAATTGTGCTCACAAACCATTCGCGTTGCCTCCGTTTCCCATGTGAGTAAAGTTATATACTTATATACCATCTCTATATATGCATTTGCTTTATTTAAGATCATTTATCGTTTATATTTATATTTAGAGCTGTAATGCACTCCAGAATCTGACGAATTGATTAGCTGTAGGCTCTAGAACCGTCATCTGAAGTGTTGTCATACAGTGTTATGCTGGATTTCATCAATAGTCTTACATTAACTAACACAGACAATATAATTTACACAATACACAATAATTACACAATAATTTGCGTTTTCCTCCTGTTGAAAAACGTCATAAGAACAATGTTTAGTGGCTCAATGTATTACAGCAGTGTTTTTAAAAGTCTAAACACTTTATTGATATAGTATACAACCAAGCACAAGTGGTCAAAATACAAACGAGTCACAGGTGATTAAAGTATTAAGCGTTTCTCCCAAAGTAAAGTGTGTCTGAACCAGGTCCAAGCAAAATGCCAGTACGTGTCTGTAGCTCCGCTCACTTTCCGCCTCTTTGTCCTTGTTTGGTATCCCGCCGTGGGTGTGGTGACCCATTGTGTTCATAAATGCAACAAAAGCATGTGTGAATAAGGTAATTCTGGAGAAAAAATAGCAGCATGCACAGATCCTCATGTAAGGCTTTTGGGCCTTCTTACCTTGAATTTTATAAGGCATTTTGCCATGCATTCCTGATGCATTACATTGTTCATGTTTCACTAGATTTTCCACTGACGAAGGCCAGTGTTGGCATGTGCATAACTTCACTGATGATCCAATATACTTCACTGGCCTGGCATCAGAACCTGGTGCCCGATCCATGAATGTCAGCTTGTGGGGCTACAGGGACACCATCCTGAATCAATACTGGGTTTCTGTCACTGTCGACTTCAGACAGCTGCTCTCTAGAGACTGTGAGTTGACTGATGTTTATAATATAACATGCAAACCTCCTAATTGAGAACATCTCATAATTTAATGTATGTTATCTTTGATTAGATAGGAAAAAAACATGTGTTAACACTGCTGTGATGTGACAAATGCTCCCCCTGCAGGCCAGGAGAATGACTACATCCAGTGGCTCGCTCACTCAAGCGATATCAACAGCCCCACGGATGGATGCGTGCTGGGATACAAGGAAAGGTTTTTACGGTTGCGAAGGGATTCGGTCTGCTGGAATGGACGGGATTATAAGGTCACCAAGGAGCCCACCACATGTCCCTGCACTCTGACGGACTTTCAGTGGTACAAACACATACACGCTTATCAAATACACTTACTTTGCTGCTTGTTTAACCTACTTGTTTAAAATGAGTTGAAACAATACAATTCTAAAGTTTGTTTTGGGACAACTTAGTTTATGTTCCATCCATTTAAATTTGCAAACATGATTGAGTTAACCTAATCAATTTGTGTTGGGATGACATGAAGGAATTGTGTGGAACTCAGCATTTTTTACGGTGTAAGATGTATATAAAACGAGGCAGTATATTGAGATTTCTACGATATATAGATTTAAATTTTCTGAAACTATATGACATGAGTGCATGTTCTCCTTGTGTTTGAGTGGGTTTCCTCCACAGTCCAAAGACATGTGACCTTATTCTAAAATGCGGAAGTGCACCTGTGTTCGCGATTGTCTTAGAACTTCCGTTTCAGTCGCATATGGGAGAAATGACAAGGAATAATAAACGGCAAAAAAGGGTCAAACTACTTGCTCTACAAACATATGTTTGCATGACTATACAGACCGAGTAGAATAATATAACAAGGAAATATCAGTTTGCAACATCAAACAGCGAAACGAGCAGTTTTTAATGTCTAAAAATGAATGGAAGTGAATAAGACCGGAAGTCTCGTGCCAAAAAGATTCAAATGGCAGCGCCCGCTCGTCTGCGGAGAATAAGGTCAATAGGTGAATTGAATATACTAAATTGTCTAGTGTATGTGCGTGAATGAGAGTCTATGGATGCTTCCCAGTACTGGATGGCAGCTGGAAGGGCATCTGCTGTGTAAAACATATGCTGGATAAGTTGGCGGTTAATTCCACTGTGGCGACCACTGATTAATAAAGGGACTAAGCCGAATGAAAATAAATGAATGAATAAATGATATGAGGCAAACAAATGCAGATTTTTCCCATATGGTTTCCATCTAGTTATTTTTTTGAGATCCAAAGAACATTTTGGCAATGGTTTCTGTAGTTTTTTTTTTAGTAACCAAAAGCAAACATTCTGGCACGTGTAGATTTTGTTGTAACAACTTAAAGAGAACCTAAAAGTAAATATTCCAGGAGCATTCTGCTAGCTAAGAGGGAGCGCTTTATTTGTGTAAAGTTTACTATCCTGACTAATCAACAGAGAATGTTTTGGGAAGGTGTAGGTACTTGTAAACTGTTAAAGTGTTTATATCGATATACGGTCAACCTTTGAAGTGGATCAAAGCATTTGGTCTATGTTGTCATAAAACTATTCAGCAACACCCATACTTGTCTTGGGACATTTTATAAAAACCTTTTCAATCAAATGTTGATGTCAGTATAATAGAGCTGTTAAATGATTAATCATGACTAATCATATACAAAATGAAACTTTTGCATTTACTTTTTTTATCTGTGGAAACCCTGCTGAAAAAAAACTGCTTAAACCAACCTCAGCTGGTTGGCTGGTTGACCAACCTGGTATTAGAGCAGTTTTGTAATGCATTGTACTGTGTTTTTATATAGCGCATTTATCGTTTATGGCCATATACCCAAAGTGCTTCACAATCATGAGGGGGGTCTCTCCACACCACCACCAGTGTGCAGCATCCACTTGCATGATGTGACGGTAGCCACACACAACATATTGGTGGAGTGGAGAGATAGTGATAGAGCCAATTCAGTGTATGGGGATGATTGGGAGGCCATGATAGGTAAGGGCTGGTGGAGGGAATTTGGACAGAACACCGGGGTTACACCCCTACTCTTTTGCAGGAAGTGCCATGGGGTTTTTAATGACCACAGAGAGTCAGGACCTTGGTTTAATGTCTCATCCGAAAGACGGTGCTCTTTGACAGTATAGTGTCTTTTTCACTTCACTGGGGCTTAAGGACTCAGTTGAGCACCCCCTGCTGGCCTCATTAACACCACTTCCAATAGCAATCATGTTTTTCAATGTGATCTCCCATCCAGGTACTGACCAGGCTCAATCCTGCTTAGCTTCAGTGAGTAAGTTTCCAGCCATTTCCAGCCTGGTCTTAGCTGGTCAAACTGGAAAATGACCAGCCAAAACCAGCTTGACCAGGCTGATTTAAGCTGGACATAGCTGGTTTTAGTTGGTCATCTCCCAGCCTGACCAGCTAAGACTAGGCTGGAAATGGCTGGAAACCAGCCTGAAATGGCCAAAACCCCCTTTAAAACCTGGCTGGTCGACCAGCTAAAACCAGCCAACCAGCCTAGGCTGGTTTAAGCAGTTTTTTTCAGCAGGAATTGAGTGACGGAAATCCATATTTCAAATGAAAACCATTTAATTCGCAAAAAGTTTGTTTTATTTATGCTCACTTGATGTGTTTTGGACTTGTCAAAAAGGGTTCATGTGAATTACGGGAGATGGAAATGCGTTTAAAGAAAAAACTCACTTGGTGAACATTATTCCTGTGTGGCCAAGCAGCTTTTTCAATCATGCTTGCCTTGTTTACAGTTGGTTATTAGGTGACCAATACTACAGTCAGCCACTCTAACAACAATTAGATTAAAACTCACATAATTCACATTTAGGATTTTTTATTTATTTTTTTGCAAACTTTGAAAAGATTTGCTTAATGTTAGGATGGAATTCGGCTAGTGTTAAATGTAATGTTATTTTAATGCTTTATTGCACAAAATGCAAATAGTTAAGCAAATACAGATTATTTTTAATCCAAATACAGAAAATTTTAAATATTTAGGTGTAATTCAACCAGAAAATACTGATATTTTTTCAGATGTATCACCCAGCCTTTATTCAGCCTGTGCATCCTATTCTATTTCTACAGTGATTTTGGGTTCTACCATGAGGAAAACAGCTCAGTGTGTGTGGAGCAGCCTGACCTTATTGGCCATTCACTGGAGTTCTGTCTGCATGGACGCAAAGAGCAGCTTCAAACCAGCGGGTAACAAATCACTCTCTATCTCTGCTCCACTGAGTTTAATTGAGGAGTTCATCCGGTGTTAGCTTTTTGGTTTTACACATATTGCTGTCTTGGCTAAAGTTTGATTGACTGAACTAACTTGCAGAACTCTTAAATATCAAGCTGTGTTCGTTGTCACAGAACTATTTAAATGAATCAATTTAATTCAAGTTTATTTATATAGCACTTTTCACAAAATTGTTTCAAAGCAGCTTTACAAAAGGTGCACATTATTGTATTATAATCAAAATCAGAAAAGTTAAGGTTATTAGGTATCATAACTTTATTAGCTACTAATAACTTTAACTAATTAACTAGAAAGTAATAGTTTTTAACAGTTCAGTTCGCTCACCGGCCACTTTATTAGGTACACTCTACTAGTACCAGATTGGACCCCCTTTTGCCTGCAGAACCGCCTTAATCCTTCATGGCATAGATTCAACAAGGTACTGGAAATATTCCTCAGAGATTTTGGTCCATATAGACATGATAGCATTATGCAATTGCTGCAGATTTGTGCCACGTTCAAAGTCACTTACATCACCTTTCTTCCTGATTCTGATGGTTTGAACTGCAAATCAGCTTGACCATGTCTACATGCCTAAATGCATTGAGTTGCTGTCATGTGATTGGCTGATTGGAAATTTGCAACAAGCAGTTAGACAGGTGTACCTAATAAAGTGGCCGGTTAGTGTATATAATCATAGTTAACCTGCAGTTATATAGTAAATAGGTGCAATGAAATGCAGACTCAACACTCTGTTACCTGTTATTTACAGTTACCGGAAAATACCCGGTGATCACTGTGAGGAAGGAATAACTCCAGAACGGAAAGAGATCGACCTGAGTAAGAAATGTGTCAGTAATCTGCTGAGGACAGAGCAACTGGTAGGTTTTTATTTTAATAACAGAATGCACATTAGCATCATTACTTAAGTCTTTGGTGTCACATAATCCTTCAGAAATTATTCTGAAATGCTAACTTGATACTCAAATCATGTTTTAAGGGGGCTTTAATGAATTGGAAGTTTTAAAGAACATCATTTATCCTTTAAACTATCCCAGCTGAAAAAAATAAGACTTTTATTATTCCTGGTTAATTAAAAAAGCCTCTAAAATGATCTTTCCCATCATGCATTTTTCAGACAAAGGAACACTCATTCAATTCAGCTCCTATAATCGCCGTGGTCATCATTGTTCTGTTGATCAGTGCTGTTGCTGGGGTCATTTTCATCAAAAAATACGTCTGTGGAGGAAGGTTTGTGCACAAACTAAACATCTCATCCTAAACATCATATGCCACTGTGCAGGATTTTCTGTTTAGTTTTGATTTAATTGGTAACACTTTAATTTAGGTCACAATTCACGGTATTAACAAACTATTAACTAACATTACTAGCTTAATAAACCACTACTTAGCTGCTTATTAATAGTTAGTTAGGTAGACGTTGGGTTTCGGTTTTGGGATTAGGGATGCAGAATAAGGTCATACTTTGTATGACTACTAATGAACAGTTAACATCTTGATAATAGGCAGGTAATAGGCAAGTAGTTAATAGCATGAATTGTGGCCTAATTTAAAGTGTTACCCTTATGTTAATATTAAGGGATTGTTTTACTGTGCAACATACAGTTGAAGTCAGAATTATTAGCCTCCATGAATTATTAGCCCTCCTGTTTATTTGTTTCCTCAATTTCTGTTTAATGGAGAGCAGATTTTTTCAACACATTTCTAAACATAATAGTTTTATTAGCTCATCTCTATTAACTGATTTCTTTTATCTTTGCCATGATGACAGTAAATAATATTTTACTAGATATTTTTCAAGAGGATTAACTAGATTAATTAGGTTAACTAGGCAGGTTATGGTAATTAGATATGCTATTGTATAACGATGTTTTTTTTTCTGTAGACTATTGAAAAAATATAGCTTAAACAGGCTAATAATTTTGACCTTAAAATGGTGTTTAAAAAATTCAAAACTCCTTTTATTCTAGCCAAAAAAAAACAAATCAGACTTTCTTCAGAAGAAAAAATATTATCAGACATACTGTGAAAATTTCTTTTCTCTGTTAAACATAATTTGGGAAATATTAAAAATAAAAATAAAAACTGAAAGGGGGGTAATAATTCTGACTTCAACTGTATATAAGCAGTATCTTCATTAATTATTGCATTTATTCGCACATGTATAACATCTGTGTCATGACCCCTTTTTGACATCTTTGGTAGATTCCTGGTGCACAGATACTCCGTATTACAGCAGCATGCAGAAGCAAATGGTATAGATGGTTTGGATGACCTGGACACACTGGAGGGGGGCAAAACGCACTATCATGATGATTCAGATGAGGTACATACTGCAACCAAGTCTGATTTCGGCAGTGTTTGTATAGTGCTTTTCACAACAATAAAAGTCTTAAAGCAGCTTTGCAAAAGGTGCACATTAAAGCAATACAATCAAATTCGGAAAAGTTAAGGGTATTAGTTACCATAACTTTATTAGTTGCTAATAACATTAATTAACTAATAACTTATAGCTTTTAACAGTTAAAGTTATTCTATATAAACCGTTAACCTGCAGTTATATAGCATATTGGTGTGGTGATGTCTATGTGTAAATGTTCAATGAAGCATATTTGTGTATTAAGTGATTGGTCAGCTTCAATACTATTTTTTTTTAGGGATGCACCATATATCAGCGGCCATATCGTTATCAGCCAATAAATGCTATTTTTAAGATAATCGTTATCGATCTGATGTCTATATTAGGCCGATATCTTTAAGCTGATAGATTATATAATTGTACAGAACTACCAGCCTCGCGCATGCGCGGGGCAGAACTTGTTTAGACTTGTCCAGTGCTCTATAATGGATCTCTCCTCACATTGTTTATTCCTTCAAAGTCTGTCCTTTCTTTATGTGGTATTGCTGTGTGTTAATAACTCAATAGGTAACCATGTTCCTCATCATTGTAGATATGTTTGACAGTGTCATTGTGTATTTTGGTTTAAATCGCCTCTGGAAAAACATTACATGTGTGTAAATAAATCAATAAATAAATAAATAATAGCAGAGATGCACATGTGCTAAACAACTTGTTGGGTTGTTTGTAATCTAATATGATTATTTGTTCTTATCAACGCATTGCTTGCCATGTGTTGATGGAGTAAGATTGTATTCAGTTTGATCGGAATATTCATATTGATTATAACGAACGCTTGTGAGGGATATTACCACACACACAGCCTTCACCTCACCACAGGGGAGAGGTGTGCCAGTCACTGAATCCAGCATAGGGGTTCTCAACTGACAGCCACAGTCTGTTTTTTTAATATGCACTGTGTTTGTCATAAAGTCATCTGTTCTCAGTGCTCAGGTGTTGTATTAAAATCTGACTCCGAGGGCAAATCTGCGCCTGCAGTTGAGTGAAACTCTCAGCAGTTTATCATAAACTTTTCATCAATCATTTATACAGCAAATATTAGCAAATCTTAAGAGTTATCGGTTATTGATATCAGTGAAAAAATCCATATCGGTGCATCCCTACTTTTTTTATCTTTTTTTCCTTTATCTATTCCATGTCTGAAATATAATTGTCCAATAGCCTAATTTAGGCAGGTTTATGCAAATGTGTTAGTCTAAAGATTCCGAAATATAATGAATCATTAATGCGATTCAGAGTCGGCTCTTTCTTTCGGAACGTTATTGTTATTCATGATGTGCTTTTTTCTGATAAATAACTTTGCAGACTGTTTGCATTAAAGGGTAGCTACGTTACAAAAATCAAATATGATATTTTTCAAAAATCCATATGACCTGCACTTCAACACTGTTATTATATTTGTGTTATCCACAGGACCTTCTGGAGTGACACATGGATCATCATAAGACTGTATCAAACGAGAGAAACCACAATGCCTACCCTTCCCATGATGTTTGTGTGTGTGTGAATTTACAATTACACACATACCAGATTTTGCCACACACTCTTCTGCCCAGCCCAGTTGAGGACAGTTTTCCAGCAATTCAAGCAGGGTTTGACTACAAGGACAGAAACAAAAAAACATATTCCCAGAACAGGTTGCTGATCCACTGCTGAAAGAGTCTTTTTATATTGTTTCACACTATATATTTGTATTTGAGATGCACAAACTAATGTTGTTGCTGTGTATTTCACATTTATGAGCTGACACGTAAAATGAAAACATGTGGCTGAAAAGTGTAGTTTATCCAAAAAAGACATGTCATCGGTTACTTATCCTCCACTTGTTCCAAACATCCTCCACTTGTTGTTGAGTTTCTTTCCTATAGATATTTTTAAGAAGGATAGAAACCAGAAGACATTAACACTCATAGTATTTGTTTTTCTTACTATGGATGTCAATGGTTACCGGTTTCCAAAATTCTTCAAAATATCTTCTTTTGTATTAAACAAAAAAATGAGTCTCATAAAGATTCTCTCATTTAGATATTTTCAAGAAAGATAAAAGCCAGAACACATTGACTCCCATAGTATTTTTTTACTATTACAGATGTCAATGGTTACCGGTTTCCAACATTCTCCAAATATATTTGAAAAAAAAAAAAAAAACGAATCCCATAAAGATTGTTTCATGTAGATATTTTTTAAAAAGGATGCAAACTGGAAGACACTGACTCCCATGGTATTTGCTTTTCCTACTATGGAAGTCAATGGTTACTGGTTTCCAAAATTCTTCAAAATATCTTCTTTTGTATTCAATAGAAAAAACAAATCCCATAAAAAATTCTTTCATATAGGTAATTTTAAGAGGGATGGAAACTGGAAGACACTAACTGCCTTATTATTTGTTTTTCCAACTATGGAAGTCAATGGTTACCAGTTTCCAACATTCTTCAAAATATCTTCTTTTGTGTTCAACAATAAAATTAATCCCATAAAGATTCTTTCATTTAGATATTTTCAACAAGGATGTAAACTGGAAGACGCTGACTCTTATAGTATTTGTTTTTCCTACTATGGATGTCAGTGGTTACCGGTTTCCATCATTTTTCAAAATATCTTCTTTTGTGTTCAACAGAAAAAAATAACGAATCCTATAAAAATCTAAAACCAATTGAGGATGAGTAAATGATGGATAAATGTTCATTTTTGGTTGAACTATCCCCTTAACTACAGTAAGTTGTGTTTTGAAAGCCATCCTAATTGAAGTATGATTTAAAAGAGGAAAAGAGAGAGTGGTTCAAATTGATTCAAGTGCTTTTTTCTTTCATGCATCAGGTATTTATACTTCACCAAAGGATTTTCTTTTCTTTATTTTGCATATTAGGAAACCGGGTTGAAGTCTGCTAAGTAGTAGTATCTTCAAAAAAATAGCCTTCTCAGAGCAAATCCTGATGAATGCTTAATTTTTATAGGTAATATTTAACATTCTCTGGACGCTTCACCATTTATAACTATTCTACTAACATCCGTAACAGTTTTTTTTTTTTTTTTTTGAGGAAATAATTCAGCAAAATTTTAATCATTCCATAAATCCATTCTCACTTTGTCTTCTGTTCGCTTGGACACACTATGCACTTGGCATATCTTGTATGCACAAATAATTCTTCTATTTCAGTATTACCGAAGCTGATTTTTGTTTGGTACATAGTCTCGTGATGCAAGAAAGGATTGGAGAAATGGCACATTGCGTGGTTTTCAATCATAATAATAGTATTTCGCACCTTATAATGGAGAATAAGTGAGTGAATTAAACATAACAGCAGTGCAGGGCCAGTCTCAATAGTTGTATATTCAATACGGACAAAATGTTTAATGTTAACTCTGACATTAAATGTGTTTTTTCAGAAAAGGAGTTCATCCTTCATTGGGATGTTGATCGTATTACACACCTCTAAATATCAGCCTAATCAAATATGAAAGTGTATATTTTTAGACCGTATTGGTTGGCGATTCATAAATAAGCTAATGTGTAGTCAGTAATCTGATTCGAGTGCATTTTCTTTCTTTTTTTTTTTTTTTGTTGCACAGATAATAAATAGATACCTCAGGGGTTATAGTTGACAGTGGACCACACATTTCATTGATGGGTTTGCATGTTGAATAAAGGGTCCTCGAGTTTCAGATGGACTTTCTGAAGTCAAAGTGTAAAATGCTGTACCATTAAATGTGACTGCCAAGAATAATAATTAAAAAAAACAATCTTCTTGAAGTCTGTCTACGTTTGTTGATTGGAAGGAAATCGTTTTAAATTGAACTGATTTGCATTACAATAGTTGCATGCTAAAATATTTTTTGTGTGTGTACACTTACCGGCCACTTTATTAGGTACACCTGTCCAACAGCTTGTTAACGCAAATTTCTAATCAGCCAATCACATGGCAGCAACTCAGGCATGTAGACAATGGTCAAGACGATCTGCTGCAGTTTAAACTGACCCGCAGAATGGGTGCAAGAAAGGTGATTTAAGGGACTTTGAACGTGGCATGGTTGTTGGTGCCGGACGGGCTGGTCTGAGTATTTCAGAAACTGCTGATCTGCTGGGATTTTCACACACAACCATCTTTAGGGTTTACAGAGAATGGTCCGAAAAAGAAAAAAAATATGCAGTGAGCGGCAGTTCTCTGGGTGCAAACAAATGTCTAGTTGATTCCAGAGGTCAGAGGAGAATGGCCACACTGGTTACAGCTGATCCAAATAACCACTGTTAAAACTAACGAATGCAGAAGAGCATCTCTGAACGCACAACACGTCCAACCTTGAGGCAGATGGACTACAGCGGCAGAAGACCACACCCGTGGTCACACAAGTGCCACTCCTGTCAGCTAAGAACAGGAAACTGAGGTGACAATTCACACAGGCTCACCAAAATTGGATAATAGAAGACTGGAGAAACGTTGCCTGGTCTGATGAGTCTCAATTTCTGCTACGACATTCAGATGATCGGGTCAGAATTTGGCGTCAACAATATAAAAGCATGGATCCTTCCTGCCTTATTTCAATGGTTCAGGCTGGTGGTCGTGGTGTATGGTTTGGGGGATATTTTCTTGGCACACTTTGGGACCATCAGTACCAATTGAGCATTGTGTAAACACCACAGCCTTCCTGAGTATTGTTGCTGACCATGTCCATCCCTTTATGACCACAGTGAACCCATCTTCTCATTGCTACTTCCAGCAAGATAACACGACATGTCATAAAGCGTGTATCATCTCAGACTAGTTTCTTGAACATGACAATAAGTTCACTGTACTCAAATGGCCTCTACAGTCACCAGAGCTCAATCTAATAGAGCACCTTTGGGATGTAATGAAACGGGAAATTAGCATCATGGATGTACAGCGGACAAATCTGCAGCAACTGCGTGATGCTATCATGTCTATATGGACCAAAATCTCTGAGGAATATTTGCAGTGCCTTGTTTAATCTTTGCCACAAATGATTAAGGCAGTTCAGAAGGCAAAATTAGGTCAAAACCAGTAATAGTAAGGTGTTCATAATAAAATGGCCAGTCACTGTATATACAGTTGAAGCCAAAATTATTACTAATATTAATTTAAATCATTAAAATATTTCATGTGGAATGTAGAGATTTCTACACATTTTTCTAATATAATAGCGTTAATAACTAATTTCTTATAACTTATTACTTTTGTCTTTACTGTGATGACAGTACATAATATTTTTCTCATTATTTATTTACTTACTTTTATAACTTGGGAAATATATATTTTTTAAATTCAGGAATATATATATATATATATATATATATATATATATATATATATAGATAGATAGATAGATAGATAGATAGATAGATAGATAGATAGATAGATCATTGTACTAATAAAAATACAGCAATAAAAACTATAAATGTCGATATCAAATATGAAAAAAGTTCTATTTTTATATTGATCATTTTTGTTTCTGTAACTCTTCTTGTCGTAATGCATACTATTTGTTTCTTTTGATTATTATCCATATAGATTGTCCTCGTTTATTAATTCTGCATCTCTGCATTTCTCTTTGTCCTTTCACATTCTCTCAGTCTTGTGAGACACGCATATGTTTGAAGGGGGTGTGGCCTTTGTCTTGCGGGAGGGGCGTTGGAGCTTCTGTTCATCGGTTTTTTTCTCTGTGCGCCATTTTGGCTCCTGATCGAGACGAGTTGTGTGATTGGGCTCCAGGCGCCGCTATCGGAGCCAATCAGAGGTGAAACGGGCGGCGGAGCAGACGGTGAGTGAGCGCGGCTGCTGGGAGGGGACGGGACTCGGTCGGTTAGCTGGGGATTGGTGTGTGACCGACCAACCAAATGACTAAAATCATTATAAACAGGAATAGTACTGATTGTGTATGTCAAGGTCCAGTGTGTGGACGGCACGCGCGTGCATGTCTACCAATATGTGCTTAAAAAGATAAACAATGGTGTTGAATCGTTTATTTTAGCTGTTTAGGCAGAGCTAGCTTGTCAGAGAGGCCCAGTTTTGCGTCGCTCTTTGTTACATTCTCACACTTTACCAGTGTCCAAGCGGTCAAACGGAGACAATATGTCGATATGATGGTTTAAAGCAACCAAATTGCTTACACAACTGATTGTTTTCTGTCATAAGGTTTGCTTTACGCGGAAAACTATCATTACGCGTGATAACACTGAGGTTGCTTTGCTAATGTAACGTTAGCCCAAGCAATGTCGGACAAAGAGAAAACGAACCGCCGCGTGTTTTTTTACACACACAAACACGGTGATGTCGAATATGTTAACTGCTGGCAGAATTACTTTTAATTGAGAGAAACCTGAATGTTTGCACACTACAAAAACGTCTGGGATATAAAGACGCGATTCGTTAAACTGAACAACAGATAACATTGGATGGTAACAGAAACTAGCACCGAAACCTTTTGTGCTGCTTTTAGTAATAAAAATCAATTTTCAGCCGTTTCCTATGTTTTATTTTAGGACCAAACGTTGTTACGCTATTAACTTGTATTTCATGCGCAGAATAAATGCATGAAATATGACCCTATGTGTTTTATGAACATAAAACACTGTGTAATGTTCATATTTTACTGCTAGTTATTAAAGTGCCCATTTTAAAGTGTTTTAATTGCAAATACTTTATGTAATGGAATGCAAAAGAAATAGTAAACCTGTAGGAACGTCATTTTCATAATCATACAGCTCAACATAAAAATGTTGAGGTAACGCTGGTTTTATATTCACACATTCAGATTTTCTCCTTAATATAATTTCAGAAAAGTATCCTTTGCAAATCCTAAACAGGGAAATCATATTAGCAGCCAATATTAACGTACAACAGTGTTTTGGGGCAATTAAGTAACGTTAGTGCTAATGTTGTGTCAAAGTCATATTTAAATGCAATTTCAGACCCAATATTCAAAGTAGCACAATACACGGACATGTGAGAAGTTGTCACTGGACGAATGTGCGAATACAAAACTAACTATTAAAAATAAAAATACAATGGCACACATGGGAAAAAATGTGCAGCTCCCTACAGTTTCCCCTAATATTTTCTTGCTTCATTTGTGCCTTATTTGTAAGACTAACAATACTATTTTAT